AGTAGATTGTTCAACCTTCCTTCAGAGGAGTGGCTGGTGGATTTGAACTGCCAGCCTTCTGGTTAGCAGTCAAATGCCTTAGGCACTACGCCACCAGAGCTCCTATTTGAAGCCTATTGGTTGGCAAAACTGACCAATGCTCACGTTAGGGTTCCATACACTTTATTTCCATGCTCCCACCCCCACAAGGGTGCCATGTACCTTATTTACACTATTAACATGCTATCCAATCCCCTTGGTGGGCCACAGGTACCTTACATTTGCATAGTCCCACCTACATATCTGATGGGAGAGACAAAGACTATGGCCATATGAAGTATTTAATTAAGTCTGTGAGGGACTTTACAGTTTTCAAGAGACTTTACGTCTTCATCATCTTCCAGGACCAAGAGGCGGGTCATTTGTGATGAATGAAGGCAATGGCCAGGACTGAGCCCATTGTTGGGTGCCATCTAGTTGATTGCAACTCGTGCAAACCCCACAGAATACAGAGTAGAACTGTCCCATAGAGTTTTCTTGGCTGTAATCTTAAGAGACGCGATCATTAGGCCTTTGTTCCATGGTACCGCTGGGTGGGCTCGTCCTGCTAACCTTTAGTTTAGTAGCAAAGCACAAACTGCTGCCTGGAGTATCCAGAGGTGCTGGAATCACAGCTCCAGAACTAACAGGCACTCTCTGTGGAGAGAGGAGGGGAGTCTCCTTGGTCTGTGGGATGCTGGGGAGAATCCCTGCCAGTGTTCATGCCCACATTGTTCCGCTTCTCAGGAGGGAATGCTCATTACTTGTGCACTCCATGTCTGTGAATTTGCTGACTCACCAAAATTCACCTGTGACCTCAAATCAATACTTGCTGCACTTTCTGTATCACTTGCAGCGAAAAATTTGAGTTGCCAACTTGTACGTTCCTCACTGAGCTTGAGCAAGGCAACACTCTGCCTTCTTGTTTCAGCTCTTGTACAGAAGTCGAGCATCCTTCCCACGGTCTATCAAGTGCCATGTTTCTCATATCTGTGTGCTTTTTGTTGGTGATTTTTCTGTTTAGTCGGCCCCCAGGTGTAGTGTTGAAGTACTGCCTAGTGCTCCAAGCACAGAAAGGCTGTGATGTGCCTCATGGAGAAAGTACGAGTTAGAGAAGCTCCACTTAGGCCTGAGGCCAATGTTAATGTGCCAACAGTATATAGTATGTTAAATAAGGTGGGTCTATACAGAGCTGGGGAGCTCTGGAGCGTAGTGCTTAAAGCACTTGACTGCTAACCAGGAGGCTGGCGGTTCAAACCCACCAGCCACTCCTCGGAAGGAAGATGGGGCAATCTACTTCCGTAGTGATACTGCCTCGGAAACCCAAGGAGGGGTCGCTATGAGTCGGGGCCAACTCGATGGCACATAACAACACAACAATAACATACAGAGCTGAGGAGCAAAGATGTTTCCTTAAGGACTAAGGTGCGCCTGACACAAGCCATGGTATGTTCAGTAGCCTCATATGCATGTGAGAGTTGGACAATGAATAAGAAAGACCGAAGAAGAGTGGATGCTTTTGAGTTGTGGTGCTGGCGGAGAATGCTGAAAGTACCGTGGACTGCTAAAAGAACTAACAGATCTGTCGTGGAGGAAGTGCAGCCAGAATGCTCCTTGGAAGCAAGAATGGCCAGACTTCGTCTCACCTACTTTGGTCATGTTGTAAGAAGGGACCATTCCCTGGAGAAGGATGTCATGCTTGGTAGGGTGGAGGGTTGACGAAAGAGGGGGAGGCCTTCAACGAGATGGATTGATATGGTGGCTGCGATGATGGGCTTAAGTATAGCAAGGATCAGGGAGTTGGCATGGGACTGGCAGGTGTTTCGTTCTGCTGTGCATAGCATCGCTATGAGTCAGAGATGACTCGACGGCACCTAACAACAACAACAACATACAGAGCTCTGGTAGCATTCTGGTTAAGGCATTGGGTTGCTAACCAAAAGGTCGGCAGTTTGAACCCACCAAGATGGGGCAGTCTACTTTTGTAAAGATTTACAGCTGTGGAAACCAAGGGTGGTTGACTTGATCACAGTGGGTTTGGTTTTGGTTTTTATATAGAAACATAAGGTCCTTAGGTGGTGCAAATGGCTTACAGTCAACTACCAAGCTAAGGGTTGGTGGTTCAAACCCACCCAGTGGTGCCACAGAAGGAAAGCCTCACAATCTGCTTCTGTAAAGATGACAGCCAAGAAAACCCTACAGAGGACAGTTCTACTCTGACACACATGGGGTTCCCATGGGCAGAATGAACTCAATGACCACTAAAAAAAGGCTGTGGGGGTGGTGTCCTCTGACCTCTTCTGACTTCCCAAGGGGGAGGCAGAATCACTCTCAGCAGCATCAGCCCAAGGCTGATTCCTATGAGGTCAGACATGCCACCACTCTCCAACCCGTTTTGCCAATTCTGACACCAACCATTTCTCCCAATAGGACTTTCTACTTCTCTGCTGGTTTGATAATTCACTGCAGTGGCACACAGAGTGCACGAACAATCCTCACAATTACGGGGTTTATTAAGGAAGTAACAGGTTATAATTCAGGATCAGAAACTACTCAGAATACAATTCTTCAATCAGGACAGCTTCTTCTCAGCCGTGCCGCAGGCACACCGCTCTCTGGCCTCAGCCTCTGCCCTGCTCAGGCTCACGTTACAAAGCTCTTTTAGCTTTGCTGATAGGTACCCAGAGAGGCACTCCACTCTGCCAGCAAGGCTCCTGCCCAAAGGCACTCAGCTTTCTTTCTCTGTGGACCAGCAAGCCTGCAGCTCTCCCTCATGCTGGTCTCTTGGTTTTGCTGCTGTCTTTCTGCCATCACAGTGAAGTGTTGTAGCGCTCTCTCTCCTGGGTCAAGGAGGTTCAGTGCTGGGATCTCGAGTCCAAGGACTCACTCCACTCTCTGTCTTGATGGTGGTGAGATCTCCCCTTTTTTCTGGGATGCTCATTTTAAGCTTAGCAAGATGGCTAAACTGACCAGTTCCCCACACTAGGGTTTCATATACTTTATTTTCACAGTCGCACCCCTGCAAGGTGCCATGTACCTTGTTTATGTTATTAGCAAGCTCTCCAATCCCCCTGGTGGGCCACAAGCACCTCCCATTTCATGGCCCCACCCAGTCCTCTGGTGAGGGTCACAGAGACCATGGCTAGATGAGTCTTATTATGTAATTCACTGTACCGCAGCAACTAACAATGGCAACGAGATAGAAACACACATAAAACAAGGCTATATATGGATTAGGGACAGAATGTTGTGACGAGAGGCTGACAAGAACCTGACCCTGTATTTTTTTCTGGAGCAATGGCTCCATATTTGCTAACTCAGTGTTGAGGTGACATTATAGAACACGTCATCTGCCATCGAATCGGCCAATGACAAGAATTTAGTGTTTACACAGTACACTTAGCCCACTGCCTGCCACGTGGATGGCACTTGATATATACCTGTTGTTCTTGTCATTGTGTCGGGCTGACGTGTCTCTTTCTGCTGCAGACCCTGGGTTAACAGCGTTGATCGGCCCATGACCCACGGTGAGTTCTCCCTCCTTTTCTCCCACGGTGACCTAATTCTGGGGACAGTTTGGGAGTGGGGACGGTTTTGTCTTGAGTCCTTCCTGCCACGGTCAGAACAGTTTGGTAGAAGAGGAACAAGGAAGCCAGAGTGTGGGGGAGGCGAGGAGACCCAGGAGCTGTCCAATGGGAGGGAGAGGACGCATCTGAGAAAGGCAGGACAGGGTGGCTCCAAGGGCATGGACCCCTGTGAGGGCTGAATCAAACCTTCCAGAATTTGGGTTGAGTCACACATCACACTTGCAGTTTCTTGGAGTCGGTCCTGACTCATGGGTGTCAGGGTAGAACTGTGCGCCGTAGGGTTTTCTGTGGTTGTGGTCTTTCAGACATAGATCTCCAGGCCTTTCCTCCGATGCACCTCATGCACCTCTGGGTGGACTCGAACCCCCAACCTTTCCATTAACAGCCAAGCATGTTAACCACTGGCACCACCAGGGACTCCTCTGGGTTGAATAGTGTCCTGCCCAAAAAATGTGTGTGACTCCGAAACCTCAGAGTGTGACCTTGTTTGGAAATGGGCTCTTAGCAGATCTAATTAGTTAAGATGAGATCAAACTAGAATGGGGGGGTGTCCCAAATCCAGTGAGTGGGGTCCTTATAAGAAGAGGGAAATTTGAGGAGTCCCTAGGTGGTGCAAACAGTTAAGTGCTTGACTGCTACCCAAAAGGTTGGGGGTTTGAGTCTGCCCAGAGGTGCCTCGGAGGAAAGGCCTGGTGATTTATTTCAGAAAAAATCAGCCTTTGAAAACCCTGTGGAGGACAGTTCTGCTGTGCACACATAAGGTGGCCACGAGTCAGAATCGACTTTACAGCAGCCGGTGACAGTAACAACAAAGTTTCAGATTAAAAATACAGGTGGAAATCTGGGCACGCAGACACACGCAGGTCGGAGAAGGTCATTTGAAGACACAAAGACACACAGACACGGAGAGAGAAAGCCACCCAACAATGGAGACAGACATTAGAGTGAGGCGGCCACAAGCCAAGGAGCATCAGGGAATGCTGGCCACCACCGGAAACTGGGAAAAGGCACGGGAGGCCCTTCCTCAGCACCCTCAGAGAGAGAGGGGCCCTGCCCGCACCTGGATTCAGGACTCTTAGCCCCAGGGAACGCCCGCGCCTTGATTCAGGACTTTAGCACCAGGGAATGCCCGCACCTTGATTCAGGACTTTTAGCCCCAGGGAATGCACACAGATGCACTTGCTGTGAGGACACCAGAAGGTGCTCGTTTTATAAACTTGGGTGAGTTCTGTGGCCAACAGCTTCCACATCCCCATCCATAAAATCAAGCAATGAAGGTCTTGGTCCCGGCTCCGTGGACACCACCCCGCTCCATGTGGTTCACTCCAAAACAGTGAGGGCACCTCTAGGCCAGGTGTTCTGGATTCTGGGGACAAACCAGGTCTGGACTTCATGATGTCCTTCTCCTCCCCCAGCTCTGCCTGCCCAGCACCCCACCTTTTCCCAGGACAAGAGAATGGCTGCAGGTTACCTGCCCCCCTGGTCCCAGGTGAGTGGGAACTTCCTATTTCTCCTGAAAGGCTCCCAGTGTACCTAGAGGGCTCAGCTCCCCCAGAAACTCCCTCCTGGCCTGAGAAGGGGCCTCTTGCCCTGTGGGAAGCGTGCAGACCCAGGTATTCTTCCTTCTCGTAAGGAAGGAGACACGTGCGATGTGTCGAGCACAGTGCTTCTGCCCAGGGAAGCAGTGAGGAGCCCTGTTCCGCACAGCTGTTGAGCGCTTGGCTGCTAACCAAATGGTTAGTGGTTTGAACCCACACAGCAGCTCTGCTGGAGAAAGGCCTGGCAAACTCCTCCCGTCTAGCAAACCCTATGGGGCAGTGCTGCTCTGTCACGTGGGGTCACTGTGAGGCAGAACTGACTCACTGGTGCTCGGCAACAACAGCTGGAGAGAGGTGGGTTTTCTTTCCGGGCCCTGGAGGGTCTCAGCTCCGGAGGATCAGGAACCCTCTTTAGAGTGAGAAGGGGCTGCGGGGGAAGAAAAAAGAGCCCTAAATGAATAGAAAGATACAGGTGCTCATGAATTGGAAGACATCACGTTAAGATGTCAGTACAGCCCAAAGTTGTTGACGAATTCAAGGCAACCCCTGTTAAAATGAGCAATGACTAGATTGATAGCACAGTGCCTAAGGCATTTTCTTGCTAACCAGAAGGTTGATGGTTCAAACGCACTAGCTGCTCCATGGAAGGAAGACAGGGCAATGTACTTCTATAAAGATTTATCTCCTCAGAAACTGTGAGTCAGAATCGAATCAATGGCTGTGAGTTTGGTGTTTTTTTGTTTTGTTTTGTTTTAGACAGGTGTGGTGGTTATGTTGTATGTCAACTTGGCTGGGCCTGGCTGAGTGGCTGGGCAGCTGGTGGTAGTTATTCCCCATGAGGAGACTGGAAATCAACTCCATGGTGGGATCTACCACAAGCAGCTGAGTAGCTGCCTTTGGGATGTGGTCTGCTTCCTGTATATAAGGAGAAGCCTTGGGAATGGTCTCAAGCCTTTGGCACGCTTGGACCATGTAGCCATGTCATTGCTCAGCAGCCTGCTATGCTCTGCCGACCTTGGGACTTACAATGGACTTAAGTTAATGGTCTGCCGTGTGGTTTGGTAACATCGGGACTGTGCCTTTTTACTTGTCAACCTTGGGTTTGTCAGCCTTAGCAGCCAGGAGCTGTCTGAGTGAAGAAACACCTCTAGCTCCAGTGGGCCGGGAGCAGAAGGCAGAGCTGGACCCCAAGATTGATGGGCTTTCATCCAGCCCCTAGAGCCTGGCACTTTGAACTTGTACTTAAAGCCTCCAAATTGTAAGAATAAACTCCTGTTTGTTAAGGTCACCCCATTTGTGGTATATTTCCTATCAGAGTGGCACTAGGGAACCAGAACAACAAGTAAGAGACAAGGGATGATTTGGGTAAAAGGAAAGGCAATATGCTGAAAGCCAGTGACCAACACAACAACATGAAGGAAAAGGAAGACACAGGGGCACAGGAGGCAGACAGCAACGATAAACAGCTTGGCACACACAACACTGTGCTATCAGTGGTAACGAGCATTTACCTATGGGTGGGTACACAGGTAGGCAGGCTGAGTGATCAGGTGTGTCCAGGCAAAAGGGAGTACACCATGACCATACAGAAGTTTGGCAGATGATATTCTACACACATATTTGTGTGTCCATATGTACAATAGAGCCAATGGGGCAAAGTGATGATAACTTCTTAGCCGCAGCCAAACACCTTGAGAAAATGAGTCACTGGGCCCACGGGCTGGGGACCATGGTCATAGGGGACATCAAGCTCAATTGGCATAACACACTACACGAACACATCGTTCTACATCTTACTCTGGTGAGTAGCAACTGGGGTCCTAAAAGCTTGCAAGAGGCCATCTAAATGCAACAATTGGTCTCTTCTTGTCCAGAGCGAAGAAGAATGAAGAAAACCAAAGACTCATGGAAATAGTCCAAGGGACTAGTAGACCATATGAACCTCAGCCAACATGACCCTGGGACCAGAAGAACTAGATGGTGCCTGGCTACCACCGTCAACCACTAGGAAAGAGATCAGAGCAGGAGATCCTGGATAGGGTAGAAGAACAATGTGGAACAAAACTCAAAACCATTAAAAAAAAGACCACACTTACTGGTCTGATAGAGACAGGTGAACCTCCTGAGACTATGGCCCCTAGTCACCCTTCGGACCTGGAATTAAACTCACCCTTGTGGCTTCCAGCCAAACAACAGACAGGTGTATAAGGTTAACATTTATATCAGGTAGGTACACTCCTTAGAACAATCAACTGTGGAAGAACAGAAGGGCAGTATTTGCATGGGGAGACAGCTCAGAGGGCAGCAATGCACAGGACGGAAGGACACAGGGAAAAGGTCAAAATGACAGAGTCAACCACTCAAAGGGGCATCTATGTAGGAGATCCTGGGTAGAGTGGGAGAACAATGGGGAACAAAACTCAAAATCATTAAGAAAAAAAAAAAAGGGACCAGGTTTGCTGGTCAGATAGAGCCTGGTGGAACCCCTGAGAGTATGGCCCCTAGCTGCCCTTCAGGTCTGGAACTGAACCCACTCCTGTGGCTTCCAGCCAAACAAAAGACGGGCATATGAGCTGAACATTTGCATTAGGTAGATACACTCCTTGGAGAGATCAATCATGGGAGAATAGAAGGGCTGTGTATGCACAGGGCAACAGCTGAGGGGGCAGGAGTGCATGGAGGGAAGGACACAGGGAACAGGTAACTATGGGGAGGAAGTAGGAGGGGAGCTCTTGCATTGAGGTAAACTGTAGTCAATGTCATAAGACAAAGTGTATGTGAGCTGCTGTATGGAAAGTGAATTTACTCTGTAAACTTTGACCCAAATCACAATAAAAATAAATAAATAAGGAAAGGCCCCAGAGATTTCCGGTCAGGCCTTATGTGCTGGTCCTCACTCCTGTAGTCTGTATGTCCCTCTGCTTGTCTGTCCCTCTGCTTGTCCATCCCTCTGATTGTAAGCCAAGACAGGTGCCTACAAGGCAGCTAGCAGAGTCCAACCCTTGTCTTTGAACCTTGATCTTTCTGTGTCCCACCATGTTCATCCCTCCTGCTGTGAATGTGGCTGGTTCCTTTGTGAGCAAGAACCTGTGTGATATTTCAGGAATCAGTGACCTTTGAGGATGTGGCTGTGGACTTCTCCCGGGAGGAGTGGGAGCTGCTGGACCCTCCTCAGAGGGCCCTGTACAGAGAGGTGATGCTGGAGAACCACAGGAACCTGGTCTCTCTGGGTAAGATCATCATTACTTCATGTGTTCATTACTTCAGCACATGCATGTAGCTTCTGCTGTGTGTCAGCAAGGACACATGGTGGCACAGTGGCCAAGCACTCGCTAGAAGGTTGATGGTTTGAACCCACCAGCAGCTCCATGGGAGGAAGATGTGACAGTCTGCTTCTGTGAAGATTGATAGTCTTGGAAACTCTATGGGCAGTACTACTCTGTTGTACAGGGCCACTATGAATCAATCAACCCAATGGCAGTGGGTTTTTTTGTTTGTTTTTTGTATGTGTCAGGAGAGATCCCTGATTTGTGCTTGACCACTAACCCAAAGGTAGGCAGTTTGAACCCACCTAGTAGTGCTGTGGAAAAAAGGCCCGGCGATCTGCTCCCAGAAAGGTTACAACCGAGAAAACGCCACAGAGCGGCTCTGCTCTGTCCCTTGGGGCCGCTGTGAGTGAGTCGGAATCAACTCGATGGCAACAGGTTGAGGTTTTTCTTTTTGTTTATGTGCCAAGAGGGAGAACCTGCATGGCACAAACGGTTTAACTCTCAACTGCTAACCTAAAGGTTTACGGTTCGAATCCACCAGAGGCACCCCGCAAGAAAGGCTTGGTCATCTCCTTCTGAAAGATCACAGCCGCTGAAACCTCATGTAGCACAGTTTACTCTGATACACCGCGGGTCAGAACTGACTCTATGGCAGTGTGTACGTGTTGAGAGCTACGCTGGGCACTGGCAGTTTCTCGGTGAAGCAGTCTGCTGGTTTCTCCCACAGAATGAATGACTGTTTCTTCTGTATTTGATCCTGGGAGCTGTGTTTGGAATGTGTGTCATGGTAGCTTAGGCGTAGATACGAATCCTCCAACTCCTCTTCAGGCCAGACTCATAGTGCCCTGCCCAGGCGAAGATCCATCATTTCTTAATTGTTATAGGTGACATCTAGTCAATTCCAACTCACAGCAAACCCCGTGTGACAGAACTGCGCCATAGGGTTCCCAGGCTGTCATCTTTGCAGGAGCAGATGGCCAGGGCTTTCTCCCACAGAGCTGCGGGTGGGCGCAAACTGCCAGTCTTTCGGTCAGCAGACGAGCGGCACTTCACCATTGTGTCACCAGGGCTCCTTTAAAACCTTTCGCTTGGTCAGTGTGCCGTTGGTTGCGTTGAGTCGATTCCGACTCATGGCGACCTCAATGTGTGCAGAGTAGAGCTTCTCCGTAGGGCTTTCAGGGCGGTGACTTTGGAAAACCAGATTGTCAGGCCTGTCTTCCGAGGAGCTGCTGGGTTGCTTCAAACCGCCAACCTTTGGGCCAATAGTCGAACACTTTTGCTGCTTCTCAGATGCACTCTTGTGTCTTTCAGAAGCCTTGAAGAGCCAAAGCACAGTCCCAGGAAGTGAAGATAGTCCATTTTCTCCAGTACAGTCTTCTCAAGTGACCCATCCTCCCCTGCGGACAGAGCGTTCTCTCTCTCAACCAGTCGTGTCTTCCCACATGGAGCAGGGAGAAGCTGTGTGGATGGTGGGTCAAGGAATTCCCCAAGCCTCCCGTTCAGGTGAGAGGCAGTCACCGTGAGCCATCGCCCTGATTGGGAAGCATCAGTTGGAGATCTCTCCTCAGAGGTCCTAATGGTATGAGGAGAAGGCCAGGGTCACGTGGTTACACCTTCTAAGGAGTCTTCTCGGTTGGTTCATCCTCTACCACCTTTCTTTTCTTTATGAATGACTTTCACTTGTCTGCTACCCTAAAGGTTGGTGATTCAAACCTACTCAGCAGTACCATGGAAGAAAAGCCCTGGCAATCTGCTCCCGTTAAGATACAGCCAAGAAAACTCCGAGGAGCAGTTTTACGGTGTAATACATGCAGCGCCAGGGGTCAGCATGGGCTCAACAGCAGCTAACCACAACAGCAGCATCCCGTAGGCTGCAGCGACATCCCATTTCCTTATTATATTCCTGTCTCCAGTTCCATCTCTTCCCCAATAGCTTTCTTTTAAAAATAATATATATTTATTTTTTGGTGGCATAAAGCAATCTCCCAGTCTTGGAGGCCAGATGGCTGAAATTAGGATCCCACCCCATTGCTGTTGTGTTGATTCTAACTCAGCAACTCATTGTAACAGAGTAGAGCTACCCCGTAGGGGTTCCCCGGCTGTCATCTTTATGGAAGCAGCCTGGCACATCTTTCTCCCCTGAGTGGCTGGTGCATTCAAATCACTGATCTTTTGATTGGCAGCCAAGTGCTTAACCACTGCACCACCAGGGCTTCTCAAATTCAGGATCATTGGGCCAAAATCAAGGTGTCAGCAGGGCGGGGCTCCTCCTGAAGGCTCTAAGGTCCTTCCTTGCCTCTTCCAGCTCCTGGTGGCTGCCGACATTCCTCGGCTCATGGATCATCAATTGTCTCTGTCTCCCTCTTTATATCCCCTTCTCCTCCATGTATCTTTATCAAGACTTCCTCTCTCTCTTTCTTTTTTAATTGTGGTAAATATATACAAAGCAAAGGAGCCCTGGTAGCACTGATGGTTAGTACTTGGCTCCTAACTGAAAGGTTAGCATTTCAAACCCACCCAGTGGCTCCACAGAAAAAAGACCTGGTGATTGGCTCCAGAAAATGTTGCAGTTCCACTCTGTCCTCTAGGGGTGCTGTGAGTCAGAATAGACTGGATGGCAGTAGGTTTGTTTTGGGCTTTGCTTCTGTAAAGACTGACAGCCTTGGAAACTCCATGGGGCAGTTCCACTCTGTCCTCAGGCGGTGCTGTCCACTCTGTCCTCTAGGGGCGCTGTGAATGGGAATTGACTAAAGGGCAGTGGGTTTGGTTTGGGTTTTGCTTCTGTAAAGATTAAAAACCAAACTAAACCAAACACACTGCTGTAGAGTCAAATCTGACTCATAGTGACCCCCTCTTTGGGTTTCTGAGGCAGTATCACTATGGAAGTAGATTGCCCAATCTTCCTTCCGAGGAGTGGCTGGTGGGTTTGAACCACCAGCCTTCTGGTTAGCAGTCAAGTGCCTTAGGCACTACGCTACCAGAACCCTATAGGGCAGTTCCACTCTGTCCTCTAGTGGTGCTGTGAGTTGGAATTGACTTGATGGAACCAAATGACAGCAGCATATATATAATAAAACGTTTGCCATTTCTACAGTCTTTGCATGTACAGTTCAGTGACATGAATTATGACCATCACATCCAGTCGTCACCGTTCTCAAATTTTTCCATCACCCTGAATGGAAACTCAGTGTCTGCTAATCAGTGTGCCTCGCTGCCCCCTGATTCTCAATAATTCCCTCTCTCTGCTATCCTGTGTTCTACTCTTTGTAGATTCGTTTCTTCTCCTTTACATTTCCTCTTCTCTCTTTTCCGTCACTGTCAAGCTCCGTACCTCAGCACACTGGCTTACTTATCCAACACTCTCTTTCCTGCCCTTCCCCCGTGTTGAATGCTGATATTTGAACATGAATCCGCGTGTGCTTTGCGTACATTGGAAACTCCTTTGTCCCGCCATCCTTTTCATTTTTTAATATTTATTTTTTTGAGAACATACACAGCCGAGCATTCACCAAGTCAACAGTTTCTCCCTGTACAACCGGTGACATTGATGGCATCAAGTTGTGCAGCCATTCTCACCCTCATTTTCTAAGTTGTTCTTCTCCCGTGAACATAAACTGACTGCCCCATAATTTCCTATCTAATCTTTTGAGTTGCTGTTTTCAGTTTGATGCCATATGGGTAGATCTGAAAGAGCATGGTGCTTAAGGCAGGCATGCTTCACTAGTTAAGCTGAACCATTGATTTGCTTTAGGAAGACTTCAGGATATCTATACATATATAATTAAAAAAATTTTTTTGTGTGATTTGAGTGAAAGTATACAGAGCAAATTCATTTTCCATACAGCAGTTCATACACATTTTGTTTCATAACATTGACTGTAATTCCCCACAATGTAACAACTCTCTTCCCACTTATTCCCTGTAGTTACTTCTTCCCTGTATCCTTCTTTCCTATGCACTCCTGCCCCCAGAGCTATCTCCCTGTACAAGTACTACCCTTCTGTTCTCCTATTATTGATCTTGATCATTCTAAGGAGTGTATCTACCTGCTGTAAATGTTCACCCCATATGCCTGTCTGTTGTTTGGCTGGAAGCCACAGGAGTGAATTCAACTCCAGGCCTGGAGGGTAACAAGGGGCCATAGTCTCAGGGGCCTCACCGGGCTCTATCAGACCAGTAAATCTTTTTTTTTTTTTAATGGTTTTGAGTTTTGTTCCACATTGTTCTCCCACTCTGTCCAGGATTAGGGGATGTTTTTGGTTGAAGGGATAAGGTTTCAAGATTATTTAGATTTAAGGGCAGTAGTTTTGGGGGTTCATCCAGCCTCCATGGTTCCAGATTTGGATCCCATGTGTCCCGCCATTCTTATGTCAGCAGTTTCTTCCTCCAAACATTTTTTTTTCCCCTGATTTATTTCAGATTGGGAGACTAAACTGGGAATCCACAAATCAACTTACAAGAAGGTCATCTTGGGGCAGGAACCATCCAGGGGTATAAATACCATCAGGTTCACCAGAGGAGATGGGGAGTATGGTCATTTTGAAGATAACCATGAAGACCCCCAGAGGCTCTTGAGGGAAATGGCATATCTCCAACTAGAGGCATTTACTCAGAAGACAGCTTCTGCATGGAATGAGTTTGGGGGAAATGGTAGTCTGAGCTTGAACTGTGTTTTAGCACAGGCAAGTTCTCTTAGGAAACAGTTCTACAAGAATGAACTCCATATTGAGAATCTGGTGTCTGATTCCATCCTAAATAGTCATCAGGTGGGATTTGCAGATCAGAGACCCTGTGAAAACAATGATTGTGGAGAAGCCCTCAGCCAAAGTGGTCACCTTGTTCAACATGAACAATCTCAAACAGAGGAGAAAATGTCTTCATGTGCTGAAGGTGGGACATCATCTCGTCATAACTCAGCTCTTACTTTACACAACAAGATTCACATCATGGAGAAACCCTATGAATGTCTTCAGTGTGGCAAGGTCTTTAACCGCAGGCACTCCCTCAGCGAACATCAGAGAACCCACACGGGGGAGAAGCCATACAACTGTCAGGAATGCGGCCGAGCCTTCACGCACAGCTCAACCCTCACACGGCACTTGAGGACTCACACTGGGGAGAAGCCATATCATTGTCATGACTGTGGGAAAGCCTTCAACAGGGTCTCCTCTCTCACCCAACATCAGAGGATTCACACGGGGGAGAAACCCTACACATGTCAGGACTGCGGGAAGTCTTTTTGCCAGAGCTCTTACCTGATTTTGCACAAGAGGACACATACTGGTGAGAAGCCATACGAATGCAGCGAGTGTGGGAAAGCCTTCAGTGATCGCTCTTCTCTCAACCAGCATGAACGGACTCACACTGGAGAGAACCCCTATGAGTGTAACCAGTGTGGAAGAGCCTTCAGCCAGAGGTCTTCCCTTGTTAGGCATGCAAGAACTCACACTGGGGAGAAACCATATCGCTGTCATGAATGTGGAAAAGCCTTCAGCCAGAGCTCTTCCCTGATTACCCATCAGAAAATTCACACTAGTCAGAAAACATTTAAAATAATTGACTGTGGGAAAGCTTTCCATCAGCGCAGCCACCTGATTGGATTCTAGACATTGTTGTTGTTAGATGCCGTTAAGTCGATTTTGGCTCATAGCAACTCCATATGACAGAGTAAAACTTCCCCACTGGGTTTCCTAGGCTGCCATCTTTATGAGAATGGATTGCCGGGTCTTTCTTCCATGGAGCTGCTGGGTAGGTTTGAACCACCAACCTTTCAGTTAACAGTTGAGCACTTAACAGTTGCACCACAGGGCTCATTCGAATTGTTTACTGTATTTTAAAGCACTTTTTAGCATTCTACCACATAAGTCTGCTTGGACTTTGCCCTTGTGATGTTTTTCTTGAAAAGAAGTTGTGTGAATCCATCCAGCAGTACCATGGAAGAAAGGCCTGTCACTTACTTCCACACGATTACAGCCATTGAAAACCCCGCGGAGTGCAGTTCTACTCTGACACACGTGGAGTTGCCATGCATTGGGATCAACTCGATGGCAACAGGTTTGGTTTTTTGGATTATTCACGTTCTTGAAAGAAATCATTAAGGGCTAGATTGGAAGGAGACTTTTAATGGGGGAAGTTGCCATTGAGGATGTAGTAAGCTCTATCCTCTTTGAGAAGATGGCAAATTGGAATACTAAGATGGAATGGGATTCTGCTAAGAATTATCACAGGTTAAGTTAGTTGTTGGAACAAAAGATACTGTATTTCTATGTTTTGTTTTAACATTTAGCATTTTTCTTCTCAATATTCTTTTTTCAGTGGTTTACTTTATCACTCCACCACAACACTGTTGGTCACTTCATTGGGTCCTAATTTGCTCCATATACTAGTAGATAAATACAGAGAATGTGACAAGGTGGCACTTTGGCTGTTATGTGCACATAAAGGGTGTGTGAGGCTATGTGTAACCTCATCCAATGAAGTCAAAATATATACCACAGAGGGACAGAGATTGGAACAAGATGTGGATAAATAAACAGATTGTGTTCATCAGGTTGTCTGATTACGTGTGCTTTGCTGTCTTCTCCCATTCCATCCAGTGTCACTATAATCCTTTTGACAAAGAATAAAAATCAAATAATATCAAACCTTGAAAGGCATGTCAGGCCTCGATCCTTTGGGGAGGATTGCAGATAGTAAGATGGTAAGAATAGGGTAGGTCTCTGGACACTGAGAGTTGCTGCAACCTTTGGCAGATTGAAAAGAGTCCCAACTGTGAAATGAACTTGGCAGAGTAGAGATTGAATGTATTGATACGCATTATCATCATCACTAACATTTATTGGATGGTTACAATATGCCAGGAAAACTGTTTCCATAAAGATTAAAGGTTGGTGGTTCAAACCCACCCAGCAGTGCCATTGAAGAAAGGCCTGGTGATTTGCTTCCATAAAACTGAGAAAACCATGGAGCAATTTTACTCTGCACACAGGAGGTAGCCATGAGTCAGAAATCGTGGCAACTAACAATAACAAGTCTAACACTTACGTGTGTTTCCTGATTGAACCTTCACAACAACCCAGTGAGATACTATCTATTCATATCCCTACATTACAGAGGAGCAAACAGAGAATGTATATTGCCCAAGTTTACACAACTAGAAAGTAGTGGAATCAAAATAGGAACTAAGGAACCATTCAGTATTCCATTTTCCATCTCACAGAGCTAGCATGTATATAGGGGGTTGGATTTCAAATTCTTTTTTAGAAGTAACCTGATATTTTTCCAAATTATATTTCCCTAGAGGTAAAGAGGTTACTATCTGACCTCCTTTTACTCAATGGGATCTAATCATGTGAATTTGGTTTCTTTTCTTTAACATTGTTCTTTGATGCTGTTGAGACAGCTTCAACTCATGGCCACTCCACGTGTGTCAAAGCAGAACTGAGCTCCATAGAGTCTTCAATAGGTGATCTTTTCGAAATAGATCACTTCTGGGTAGGCTCAAACTCCTGACCTTTTGTTTAGCAACCAAGTGCATTAACTATACCACCTAGGGACTCCAAGTTGTCGAGTATGGATAAATTTAATGAAATTTGAATATATGCAACATACTATTATATATAGTGTATGGCACATAACAACAACAACAAAATGGCCCTGTCTTAAGCTGGGTTCACTAGAGAAGCAAAACAAATGAAGCTTACATATGAATATATATATGTATGTATGTATATATATATATATAGAGAGAGAGAGAGAGAGAGAGAGAGATTTATCTCAAGAAAATTGCTCACAAGGTCATGGAGGCTGCCAAGACCCAAGTCTGTGGGTCTGTGGGTCAGACGTCGTCAGGCTAGAGCCTTCTGCTGACTCATGTAGCTGCAGGGGCTGAGCAACCCAAGGTCAGCAGGTCAGACTGCAGGCTGCTGGCTCACAGGCTGCAGAGGCTGATGAATTCCATGATTGGAAGGTCATTGGCTGAGGTTTCAAGAACCAGAAGTCAGATGATGACAAGCCAGATGCAGCATCCAGGACAAGCAAAACAGCCAGTGAGCTTTGCCAGAATGTTCATGTTGGATGTTGGCCACAACCTTGAGGAAACCACCATTACAACTGATTGGCTGATCACACAAGAACACATCGTGGGGGTGATTACATTATATGACAAAATGGAGGATGACTACATCACTACATAACTCTCAAACCACTGAGAATCATGGCCTCGCCAAATTGACATGTAACCTTAACCATCACAGGTTTGTATGTGTGGCATGAGAATAATAAACAGAAAGTTATGATTTTTTTTTTTTTTTTGGAGGAGACTTAGGGGAATGGGTTCCTGGAGGGGACGTACAGGCCATGTCAACTCTATGTACAATGTTTATTTTCTTCAAAAAAATCAGCATAGTATGAGAGGCGGATAGGATTTATTTAAGCTTGGTGATAACTATGTAGATATTCATGATATTGTTATGTGTGATTGAAAGTGCTCCCCTCCCCCTAAAAATAACACAAAGCATTGCATTGTAGTTTTCATTAATATATGTTTTCATGATGAAAGGAGCTCTGGTGGCACAGTGGTTAAGGTATTTGACTGCTAACCAAAAGGTTGGCGGTTCAAACCCACCCCTGCTCCATGGCAGAAAGATGAAGCAGTCTGCTTCCGTAAAGATTTACAGCCTTGGAAACCCCATGGGACAGTTCTACTCTGTCCTATTGGGTTGCTGAGTCAGAATCAACTTGATGGCAGTGGGTTTGGCTTTGATTTTCATGACATATGCAAAAAATCAGCTCTCCTAATGTTTTGCAGGAGTTCCTGAATGGCATAAATGGTAAACACTTGACTGCTAATCAAAAGGTTGGCAGTTCAAGTCCACCCAGAGACACCTTAGACGAAAGGCCTGGTGACCTGCTTCCAAAAAGTCACAGCTTTGAAAACCCTGTGGAGCACGGTTCTATTCTGTGACACATGGGATCACTGTGAGTTGGGGTCAGCTTCCCAGAAAGTGGTTCTGGTGATGCTTTGCAAACAGATAGTTATGGTTCTGGGTCAGATTTATGATGAGAACTTCATGTATCCAAAATGCTGTGTTGTAAACACAAGGATGAAAAGATGTTGTGCTCTGAAAAACTGCCTGGTCAGTCACTCAGAAAGTTCTGGAAGTATCAACAGTCATGTTGAATGTGCCTGTGGACAGTTCAAAACTGTTCCATGAAATGTGAGATTGGGAGTAGGATTACCCAATATTCAAGGTAAGCATGGCTTCCTTGTGCTTGCTTACTAGTGTGTAATGAACACGTTCCCATTTTTTCACCATGTCAAAAGTTCTGCTTCTGGTATGATTGGTGTCTGTCTGTCTCTCAACCCCACAGCACCTTCCTATAGAATCAAAGCCTCTTTTCAAATATATAGTCCCTGACAGGGACATAGAACTCAGTAAGTGAGATAAGAACCAGCTTACTTGTGCTTATTTACGAATCTGTAGTGAACAGTTTCACATGCTTTTCATCACATCATAATGTGGTACTCTGGCCCTGTGTTCTGGTTCCCTAGTGCCACTCTGACAAGAATATACCACAAAATGGGATG